GAAATCTTTAGTGCAAATTGCTTATTTGTGACCATATGGGCCCCAAAGATGAGTCAAGTGTTAAACATAAACACCATGTGAAGCTGTTCTATCCATCAGAAGAGCCACTGCTGTCCACAAAGTGCATCATCCACCTGCTCTGACTGATATTACTTAAACAGGGGAGTTTCTTCCAAATGCTTTTGTATTTATCACTCATAGTGCAGACCATATTACCACTTTCTACCATAAAAGTAATTGCCTTGCACTCTCAATTTCTTTTGGAAACTTCTCATTTGGTCTCTCCACCCTTTGGCCAGAACTTTAATTTTATGTCATTAAGACATTACAGTTCAAAATGTTAAATTATGTCATTACACAACACATCAAGGTTTATGTCTGATGTTGATGGCTCATTCAAAATGGTGTTGATGAAGCTTAAAGCTAAGATGAATTCCAACTCCTCTGACTATTCTGCATGCCATTAGTTTAATAACATGGAGGCCTTTAAGTCATTACCATTAGTTCCTATGAATTAAAGAAAACCGTGTAATACTGTTCTCTCCCTTCCTTTTGCTAATGGCATAAACATAACGTGAAAGTCTTTTTAGAAATAGCTTTTTTTCTTCAAAAGGCAGTTTTTAAAATGAAAAAGATACAGAGAGTTGTATAAAATTTGCCTGATGATGAAACTGCATTAAATAGACTATAACCTGAAGAAAGTCTGCTAAACTTGAGTTATATTTCTCAGACATGAAACCCGCATGGTAGTTTACTCTTACATCTAAGCAAATAAGAAATGGGAAAGCACTGTTTTTATCATGTAGTGAAAAAGGAAACTTTCTTTTATGGCAAAAATATGTCCGTCTTCTTCCATGAATAATTTTAACAGTCAAATTCCTTACTTACAAGCATTCATTAACCTATGTAAATATACAGAACTGTAGTCATCAAAAGCACACAGCAGGTGGACAATTCAGCATAGTAAGTCTACAGAGAAATACAGCTTGCTCTTTTTCTGTAATTTTCTCACCTTTTTATCATCCTGTTGCATTTCATATACTTTTAACTGTTCCCTTGTCACCAATGCTGAGAAACAGCTGTGGTGCCAGGTACTCGCACAGCCACCACAGACTCTCATTAATGAGCCTGTGGGAGCTGATCTGCAACGAAGTCTCCAGACAGAACTATTACCTGATTAAGAAAACAGCTGCCCAGCTCTCTCATCATTGCCTAATAATTTCTTGTTCTTGAAGGTTTTTCCGCATAAATGAACATGGTTGTGACTCTTATACTTAATTTACTGTCTCTTCCCCTCTGCTGAGCTACCACATAGTAATATGTACCTGTGTGGGGCAAAGACCCAGCAGCAGAAAAAGAGCTGACAGGGCAAGCAGAAGTTCCTCTCAGGCACAGCGTTGGTTGATCTCCAGGTGCATTATCCCAAAAAGCCATGATGGAGCCATGACTGTCCCATAAGTGGACACCTTGCTTATCACAGCCTATGGGACGTCCAGACTTGTGACCAGAGGACATCGCCACCACCAAGGGGAAGGAGTCCCTGGGCTCCCACCCAAAGGACAGTCCTGACCATAGGCCACACCTTTTGCCCCTTGGAAGACAGCAGCAGCCCAGGGATGACTCCTTGAGAATGCTCCTCATCCATACCTGCTAATCTAGAAGCAGAAGCCAGCACAAGTCTGGAGGAAGACTTCTTGAAGGTGAGGATGGAGGGTGTTTAATATTCATGGCTGCTTGTTATGAGGGCTTTGACTTCACATTGTAAGAGTAGCTGGGGAGGCTGAGACTGGGATTGCTTACATCCTCAGTCTTATCTTCTTGTCTATATGGGAGGCATGCTAGTGATATTTGCATATTTCAGTATTTTGGCATCCTGACCATTTCCAAGAGATGCATGGATACTTTACAAGTGGACTAATGCTGGCAGGTATTTATTCAGTATCCCTTCACCCAAAAGAGGCCGTATGGATGTATTTTATAGGGTAAGCGTCAAGATCCTCATGCATGTTGTAGTGTGTGCCAGGGGTACAGACGGGAGGTTGTTTGGTGCCAACTCAAGGACAAGTGTTGGCCCTAATTTTCTACCAGCTTCTTCATCATTATGGTCTAAGTAATCAACACCCTCTCTAACCACAGACCATTGCCCCAAACTGGTCACCCAAGCATGAAGCCAGTGACTGCCAGGATTACAAAACCTGCCTTACAATCCTGGCCATACGAACCCAAAATAATCCTCCTAAACACCGTGGGTAGCATTCACAGTCAAATGACTGCTAGCTGCAAAAATGTGTGAGTACGACATACACATCCCCGTGCCTGCTTTGGAGTGCGGCCTTTTGGGCAGAAACCCCTCCCTGGTCTGCAGGGACCATGCCCCAAAGCCCTGCTCCATCAGCACACCATGAGGGACAGCAAGCTGCAGCCTGTCTTTGGCCAGCGATCAGAGACCACCGGAGGGAATTAAGTGATTGTGCCTTCTTGTCTCAGTAGAATACTTGCTCACTAGGATGCAGGCAGGCTTTCCTGGCATCCAGACCAGAAGAAGGACTGATTTCTGGCCAGCAAAGTGGAAAGCTGGTGCTCTGCTGGCACTGGTACCTGCCGTGCCCCCACTGGTGGTGTTCACCCATGCTCCCACTGTGTTCTCCTGCAACTTCTCTGGGGCTGCAGCTGTGCCCAGCGGCAACACATGCAGGTGGGGAAATGCTGGGAGGCTGCAGGGGCATTCAGACTTGCCCTGTTGCTGCCTAGCAGAAGCTTTTTGTGACAAGAGGGGAGATGATGTTCTTTTTAGAAGACAGGTTGCGTCTTTTCATTTGAAAGACAGTTTAAAAACTGGTGAACATTAGGATTGACTGTGAAGGACAAAGTGGGGTGGGTCCTTTTTTGTTGAGTTCTGGTTTGCTTTGAAGCTGGTGCTGTGGTACATTTCTGCACTTAATCCAAGGAAAATGAGCTGCTGAACGATTTTGTCCGACATACTGAGGACCACATGTTCTGGCAGGAGCTTGTGCCAGCGATGTGAGAGGTGATGAGTCTCTAGAAGCTGCTTCTTGCTCGTAAGTTGCCAAAACAGATGAGGTTTTTTGATACAAGTAGTTGTTGAGTTCATGAGCTCTGTATAGTATGGACAAATTGGACACAGTGCTGATGCCAAAAGCACTTGTGGCATAGCTGTGAATGCCCTTCTCATAAGTATTTTAATTTCCAAATGCAGATGAACATTATCCTTACAGAAAAGGGCCACAGGGATAGTCCTTGAAACTGATGCTCTCAGTTTACCTGCAGAACAGATGTACACATGCAATTGCAAGCAACATACACTTTCCTTAACCCACAACATTAGTAGGCTCTAACCAGGTCTGGAATCGTATGTGAAGTTCAATCTTCAAGTCCATTTGTCTTTGTGCTGAGTGTGCTGACTGTCTGCAATTCAGAAAGCTGGGGCCAGCACGCTGGTGCTTTCAGATATACGGATAATGGTCCTTCTCGAGCAGGACTGAGACCAGCTATTTTTGTACAACACAGGCTGCCAAACAACTTTTGATTTCCAATCAAGTGGTGAAGGGCTCCTAGTATCTTTGCTGTTATTAGAAGCAACCTACAAAATTACAAAGTGCTGGATGAGCTGAATGCAGAATCCTGCACTTGGGGACACTCGGTGAAACCAGTAGGGGATGAGCTTGAAACAGATAAAAGAAATTACTTCTTTATCAGTCAGTAGTGAGCTTCAGGATCTTGCTGCCACATGGTACTGTAGAAGGTGACAGTATCAGCAGGTTCAGAAGGGATTAGACAGATCCAGGGACAACAGGCCTATTAAAAACACAAGGCAGGGATGTGCCCTCTGTGGTATCTGTCACATCAGATACACAGCTGTGGATGCTGGGGGAGTATGAGGGGAAGGGGCTGCAGAAATCAGCCAGGCTTGCACACACTTTCTGAACAGCATCTCTCTTCTCAAAACTGCATGATAAACTACTGGCCTGAGATAGTTCATGCTCTTAATCATAGAATCATAGATTCATAGTTATAGAATTCAGGTCCCTCTGGATGGCATCCCATCCCTCAGGTGTGTCAGCCACACCACTCAGCTTGGTGTCATCTGCAAACTTGCTGAAGGTGCACTTGATCCCACTGCCTATGTCATTGATGATGATATTAAAGAGTACTGGTCCCAATACGGACCCCTGAGGGACACCGATCCCCATCTGGACATTGAGCCAATGACCACTCCCCTCTGGATGTGACCATCCAACCAATTCCTCATCCACCCAACAGTCTACCTATCAAATCCATATCTCTCCAATTTAGAGAGAAGGATGTTGTGGGGGACTGTGTCAAAGGGCTTAATGTAAAAATGTGTTTAATCCCCAACACACTGCATGAATATTCAGTTTCTACAGCATCTACAGCATACCTGTGAGCTGACTAATGAGCTCAAAGCAACACAATCAAACAAGAACTAGGATTCTTCTTCATTCCTGGCTCTCATCTTGGATTAGAGGTCCATTGGTGTCTCGCTGTATAGGTGGTCCCATTACATAGCCCACTGCCAATCTCCCAGGTCAACACTCCCCCTTAACTGTGTACTGTGCTAATACATACGCCATATTGCAGCCATTCATATTACAATGCAAAATCCTAAAGGAACGAAATGAACAAATCGTCCATGGGGTACAGAAAAAGATGGAGATAGTGAAACTTAAATGCTAATGAAATAGTGTACAAGTGGGTAACACAAAAACATCCCATCTACAGCTCTAAAAACTGTTAAGGGTAAGTCATGCATAGTGCAGCAATTATGGCAATTTCGAGCTTTCTTAGATTTTGGAGGCTGAAAAGCAGAACTTCCTCTGCCCCTTGCATTTCTTCCTTCACGGCAACTTAGGAATTAAGCCAGCATGCCACCTTTTAAGTATAAAATAAAATTAAACCAATCATTTTTAAGCAATTGCCCTCGAGGCCACCCAATAATAGTGTTTCTAAAGCAGTCCTACCTTTGTTTTCCAACTTGAGCTCCTCTGCTAGCAAGCTGTCTTGTCTGTTGCCAAGCACAAATGCCAGAAATGAGAGGATCAGGGCATCCAAGATTCCAATAATTGCCAGGATATATGCCCAGCGGACTGAACAAGCCCCCAGCGTGTACTTGTCTGTCTTTTCACCACACATCCGTTTTACCTCATCTGAATCCCAGCCATCAGGAAAAATCATACAACCCAGGACGAGACAGGCAGCTTGGAGAAAAAAGAAAAGGAGAACAATGGGATAATGAGACCAAACTTTCATTTTGATGAGTACCTACACAGTTATCATTAAAGCAACACACTTTTTCATCCTGAGCTTCAAAGGTAGGTTACTTAAAAAGAAGTCACAGAATTTTATGCTGTGATTAAGTATTTAATATAAAAACTACAGGTACAACTTCAATTGCACACCTTGTGTAAAAAAAAAGTTACATCCTGAATCCCTGGCCAGTTTTTGTATCAGTACAATCACATTTTCCTGGTGAGACTGATTTCTTCATTGTAATATAAAAGGCTCACACAGAACAAAAGGGGAAAATTATTAATAACCTGGATAATCAAAGGAAACACTGGATTACTGTCAAATGGTCAGGCAAAACAAACCAGAGAGAAAAAGAGGAAAAAACCCTCCCTATCATTTCTGGTAATCTAAGTGCCTGTTACACGCATAGGTAGGGGGGTGTTTGTCAGTTGGCAGTACCTTGTTAACTGAAATATGTTCTATGCATAAGGTTTGTAGTCCTCAAAAACACAAGTAATGACATTGTTCTGCAAGGAAAAAGAAGCTGTCAACACTGCTGACAACTTCTGATCTGTTTTACCTGAAGAATCACCATATGACATCTCAAACACGAAAAAGCATCGATCTTTAACACCAAGAAAAATGAAAAGCCTCTACCCACGTGGAAAGCTAGCTGACATCGACCACCAGCCGCTCTGGGTAGGAACAGCCATACCATGGTGGGAACAGAGGCAAAGGGTGGGTGTTCATCTGTTAGCCTGGGTAACTGCTAAAAAGCTGAACTTAATTTTTTTTTTGGCCTTGTGGTGGTGATAGGGATGCAGCAGCACGGCTTCTGCCCCAGGAGGATACAATGTGCCCCGAGGTGGTGACGCATGATTGCCAAACACACACAAAAAAGCAAACCAATACGCTGCATCTGCATAAGCTGAGAAAATCCATGGACTGGGAAAACATGCCAATATGCCCGTCTCATAGGACTGGACCCAAATGTACTTCTAAACATAAAACCTGTGTGAGACGTGGTTTCCCACTGCCCGCAGGGACTGTCCCGGGGCGCGGCTGAAGGAGCGCAGCGAAAGCATGACTTGTACCTTGCAGGCTGCTTTTGAGAATGGCTTTCCCTGGGAAACCCCATGCAGGGTGGCCCTTGCTGTGAGTGGGGTGATGGACCAGGCGGTCTCCAGAGGTCCCATCCAACCGGAACTGAATTTTGGGTCTGTGACAGGGAGGCGGTACATGCGTAGCAGGGGACAGAGCCGTTGGGTACTCATGGCACATCTCCTATCAGGGCAAAGGGAATGGCGCATAGATATGCTTAACTGCAGCCCTTGGTCATGCTGATGGACTCGTCTTCGCTGAAGCAAACAACGTGAGTGCAGCGCTAGCCAGGACAGCTAGGGGCATCTTCCATAGGGGAGGATAGGATAAAAAAATTAAGGAAAGTAAGAAAAATCTAAAAATAAAGGTTATGTTGAATGGGTTCATTCCTCATTTTTTATTGCATTTAGGGGACTCAGAAAATCCATATGCTTTCAGTAATTGCCTGTATGTTTTTTTCTAACTTGGAAACAAGCATATTTCCAGCATTAGTCCTTCTTTCTTAGTATGGCTGATGAGATACAATGAATCTGAAACCATATTTTATAAGTCTTAATATTATGTTGGTGCACTGTGCTCTGAATTGCAGGTATATGTGCTAATTGAAAAGAATACATTGTGTGGCTTTTGGCCTTTTAGACGGTTGCTGAACCAGACAGACCTCTGTTTGGAAAACATGGTTTATACATAGAGTAGCTTGTGCAACCAACAGCTGTCAGGGCTTGGGAATTGCAAAAAGCTCTTGTCTTTTCTGGACAAGCATAAGCACTGTCATTTTACATAGCTTTAATGCCCACAAAACAAAAACATACCTGCACTGAATCAATGTGATGAAATATTGGAAGAGAGATGTGAAAACAGAGCTCAGGAATGGTATTTTCCTTTTGACAGGTACACAATTGCTGTAGACAAAGCCTTGAAAGCATGTCTGCGGAAAGCATCTGACATAGAATAAAAGCTGCACCTAAGGCATTTGACAAATTCTTCCTGAGCAGTTAATTTCTGTGAAAATATAACAGCTTATAATACTTTCAAGGACAATTAGGCTTAGAAACAAGAACAATTAGATAAGGGCTGATTTACTGAGAACATGCAGGTTGGACAAATTGTAAGTTGCCTATTGCCTGCCTTAACTCATTGACACTATTTCATAAGATCTTCCAAAGATTTGAGAGATAAACTGTACAATAATTTGCTTTCCTAAGCGGGTTACGCACACTTCCAGAAAGATTATTTCTCACACATAAGCATTGCCCTCACACTTGTGGGGGACTTCAATGAAATGATGCAGTGAATACGCTACTTTTGGTGTCTGTGAAAATGTCCACATTTATCCACGTAACTGTTGACAAAAGTTTGATTTACTATATAACAGCAACTACCAAAACCAGTTTACCTTTATTAATCGTCCTCAAAATGACAGGAAGCTTAATGCTCATTTAATGATTAATAGATGTGGGATTTTTTGCTAATTGTGCAAGAATAATCAGCAAATACTGACATCTCTGTGTTTTTTTATTACATAGCATATCAGACATATGTTCTTGGTACTTCCCAAAAATAATTTAACTTTGTTCTTTTCCACCTAGGTAATTAAAAATACGGGCCCTTATCTCAGCTTCCCAGCTGAGTTCCTCAGACTTCCAGCTAACCCATCTTTCCTGAATTCTGTTCCTGCACACTTTGATATACTTGCTTAATTTTCTGGAGTCATTCTGTTGATTGCAATTGGACTTCTGTTAGTAATAAGACACACAGGGAAACAGTGGTTGCATGAAGGCAGATATCAAAAAGGGGATATTATTGTTATCTCCTCTGTCTATTTTGTTTAATGCTTTCTACTAGATGACTGCTTGGCCGACATCTTCAGATGCAGGAATCATACTTTACCTGTAGAGGTTAACATAAGTAAGATTAGTCAACCTCCAGTCTTCATTTGCTGAAGGAATATTTTGCACTGAATGTGTTTAAGACTACACACTTGCTCGATAATATGAAGCAGGTAATGATTAATTTATCAGCTACAAGACTGAAAGGTGTAAAATCCACCTACAGATCTACTTTGTATTGCTAGAAATTTTTACATTTTATTCCTTCTAAAGAGGATTAGAAGATTTTTCTCTAGAATGAAATTACTTTCAGTTTTATACAAATTTGAAAAATGGAAACCATTTTAGGTAATTTCAGTGAAACTGCTAAGAGATCATTTTATAAAACAGACATGCGTCCCATATCTTTGTCTAAACTTCGACTGTTTCTAACGGCAATGTGACTGAAATGGAAATGTAACAAAGGCTACTACTGTTTTACCACTATCCACTTCTAATAAATTCAGAAACTTTTGGATTGGAAAGCTCACCTATTGAATGAAAAGACTTAAATAATCAGTTCCTATAGACTTTTTGATTCAAGCAAGGAAAAAGTTAAATCTCTATTGGTTGAAGTCAGCCATCTGTGTGTGAGCTGAATACACGGGATTAGCACCATCTCCTGAGCCTGCAGACAGCCAAGCCTAAAACCTCTGTAGCTAATCAGAGCTTTTATGAGAAGCAGCAGGGCAAACTGATGAATGACTGATTAGTGTCACTGACACTGTTCAGAACTATTTGGGCAATTGCAAAAACTACAAGACTCATATCCACATTGTCTTCCTTTTGGTTGCTTGAGAAAGCTACCGGCAGGAATAGTGACTTTGTAAGGATGGCCCTGGGCTTCCTCCAGTCCTTCCTCTAATTTTCTTACAAGACGTGGAGTAACAAATTGTTTCTCCTACATATTGGAGTCTGGTGAAAATTTTCAAGCTCGTAAAAAATAATTAATAAATACTACTTAAATATGCCTTCTTTTCTGAAAAGCTTTTTTCTCATATGAACAGCTAACAGAAACTGCCACATGGTTTTCCTTTAGGGCTCTGAATGACTAGACAAATTATTCATACTAAAAGAGGGAGTCCAAGGATTTTACCTCCTGGGATGAAAGGATGCAGACACAACACTTTCTGAGACTGAAAACAGACACTGAATTGTTGCTGGCACTGACAGACTTGTGACTCTGACCGAGCTAAACTTACAACAGCCCATGCTCTGTGCATGAGCTCAAATGGTAATTAGCAAGCAAGTAGTTCATGATCCTATGGTTGTGCCAAATATGGCGACAGATTAAAATTATATCATTGCATGGAATGAGGTTCTATTTATAAAAAGGCTGACTGTTTTACAGGAAACCAGTGCTGAGAAATTCCCACTGGCAGGACTCTTCTCTTGTCTTCATTCTTTTCCTGACAACACACCCCATTTGCTTGCATGTAGAGTATGATAATGTCAAGTTTCCTGATACAAAGAGTCAAAAAAATGGGATGGGAATTACACTGACCAGCTATTTTCTTTCCATACCCACAAATGCAAGAGCCTCCAAGCCTCCGTGGTTGTTCCAAAAACTGAGAGGTTCTTTGTTTTCTGATTTCTTTTTTAAAAGGTGTTTACAAAAACAGTGACTCATTAAATACCAATAAATTGAATAGAGTTTTGCCAGCTGTGTTGGTGGAGTGGACTTCTAGCACAGAGTGAAATGAAAGGTGAGGACTCTAAGGGGACATTCACTAGGACTACAGCCTTTCAGGAGCTTGTACCTGGGAAAGAAAGAAAAAAAGGGTGAGGGGAGGTGGCTGAAGACACAGGAACAAATACAGTCCTGAGTGAACACAGAGGCTGCACATCCATGCAGCTGAGATTGCCTTGAGTGATATGGACTGTACTAATGAGTGAGGTAATAATTCTCTGTGTTTGCATTCGTGTTCTGCCTTGGACCAAATGTGCAATTTTGAAGTAAATTCCCCTGATTCTCTCCATTTATGGATTCCATTCACAGAAACAGTTCTGGTGCATGTAAAACAGATTATTTTTTGAGGAGCTTAGAAGTTCCTTTCCAAAAGTTCTTCCATGCTGGATGAGGACCTTAAAATTCTGACTTAATGTGTGGGCTTCGCCACAAAACCTGTGCCTAGGAGAAGGCTCTTGAACCATGCACAGCTTCCTTAACACCTGAAATGGTTCTCATGCAATACAAAGAGGCAAATGCCATATAAGACTCCTTATTGCTGCTTTGAAGACTGCCAGATTAATTCTTCAGCTTTGGAGAGGTTCTTCAGAGTGGTGCCAACTGGCTCCCAAAGGAGATTACAACAGCCTGTTCATTTGTGCCCTAAGGAGACCAAAAGTTCCTCTGGAACCAGGATATCTTGGTGGTCCTCACACAGGGTTGCTAACCACATGATGGCTGTTGGGTGAGATAGCCAGTGAGGAAAATGAAACAAAATTCAAGATTCAAGGGCAGTGTTCTTGGAGAGCTGGAATGATAAAATCATATCTGGACTTGTGTGTCTTGGGCTCCCATGTGGGACACGGGAGGTGCCCATGGAATTACTCCAGGACACTGATGTGCCACTTTCATCTCAGCGACATGGACAAAAGCAGACCTTCCTAGAGAGGCCCAAAGATGCTCTCCCTCTCAAGTGAAGGAGCAAAGGTTTGTGGGTTAATTTTTCTTCAGAAAGCTTCAGACAACATGTATAATGGGGGCATTTGGTCCAGGAGACAAGACTAGTTCTCATTTGAAGTAAAACCCTCAAACCACATATGATGAGGATGTGAGAGGCTTCAGCAGTAACTGCTTTAATCTACTTATTCTTTCATTTCACATCATCTTACCTGGTAATGTAGACAAACCTGAACCTCTCCACAGGATTAAGAACATTCAAGACAGTGTTAAGGGGAAGAAAAAGGAGGAGAACATCCCACTGCATTCCTGTGATAATATAAAAGACCTGACACAGTTATGTCCACTTGACTTATTAGGGCGCTGACTTTTTGATGCCAAATCTGATAAGAATATATATACACATATTAAAAGATAGGTGCATTTCCTATGCTGATTTTAAGAAAAAGAACAAAGATGACCAAATATTCAGTGACTGCAAAGAGAAAGAAAAGAATATTGTGGAATGTGGTACGAAGGTAGGTGCTACAGTCAGGGAGAGAAGACTTGCCATAACCTGGATGAGTTGACAGATAACTGAGATATTTTGACACCTGCTAGTTATGCTTAGACAGCAAAATGGAAGAATTTCATTAGCTGTTGCAAGATGTGAAGCTGTATAACAGAAGTATGGTTGACCAACAGCCATT